GTATTCAGAACACCACTTGTTGTCGGAAGAAGATCCGGCAAGTCACCGTAGACTTTGACGCGGCCTCTGGTCATCAAGTATAGAGCACGTAAAATGTTCACGTTTCACGGAAATATCTTTTCGTACAAATAATTCTAACAGAATGCATTAGTCTATCGAATCGAACGCACTCGTGAAATCAAGAAATAAAGATATTCTCGGTCTACAGTATGCGTGGCGCTGCTCTAGAACTTGCGGCATAGTGAATATGTGATCTATGCAGCCTTGTTTGGGTTGTAACCTGGATGCTCTACCGTGGTCCGGGAGTCGGGTTCATCAGTGAGGCGATCAACGAGGATCGAGGCCAGTAATGTTATCACCACCGGCGTTAGACCTATACTCCTATGGTTAGCATAGTCAGTGCTACTGTTCTTGTATATTGCTAATATAATCGATTCACTTCAGTTAACTGGGATGGTTTCTTGCTTCCAGACAGAGATGTCAGTGCTTTGCAGAGGACCTCATCTCCATACTTAAATAGTGCAGGTGGGAGGGAATCAGGGCCAGCAGCACGAAAACGATTGAGGGATGTGATCGCGTTCCAGGCCTCAGCCTCTGATGAAGATTCTAAACTAACCGTCCATGTATCATCGTGCATCACCTGAGTATGAAGTGGTCCAGAAGCAGGAGGCCAACTGAACTCAGCTTGAAGGTATTCCGCCCAACCAGTTCCTTATTGTGAATCAGAGCACCTGCACTGTCTCTGAGTGTCTCACTGACGCCTGGTATCCTGGGACCAGTAGTGCGGATCATTTGGAGGAGATTGCGATAATCGCCTGCTGCTCCCGCTTCCCCCATTTCACGAGCCCAACTGGTCTACTAGGCTTCTTCGTCAGTGCTCAGTGTCCGATTTAATTCGCGCCTAATAGTCCACCTAGTAACATTGTGCTCAGATGCAGCCGGGAGCATCCTTCGGGATCCCAACAGTATCACCGACCTCTCGGATTGATAGTGCCGTAAGCGGAGGCTCCTGCGTAGTGCATGGCGGACGAGATTCTAGTCCACGGAAGTTCAGTGTCATTAAAACAAGACAGAGAAAGTTCGGTACGCAGAGCATCTTGGTAAGCTTGCCTGACCTAGTGCTGAAATACTTCCCAGTTGCCAATCCGGGGATGCGCTCGGTGCGCCTCCCGTTACAGTTCATGGAAAAGAGACAGCGTACCAACGCATGATACGACTCGTGGCAAGTATTTCAGAACGCGGGACAATCCAGGATGGAACCACTCCATTTGTATCTTATGGCAATGTGATCTATTTGCGTCCATCGCTGGACGCCCACTGCGTCTAAAAGCAGTGCTACTAAGAAACAGCTGATGCTCCGCACACAGTTGCAACAGACGCTCGCCGTTGTTTGGTGTTAAGTCCATACTTATCACCTAGCTGAGATTTTGAAGAGACCAGGCGAACAAATGGCGCACTCATATCCCCCCTTCAACAACAACGGTATCTGAACTGGTAACACTGCGAAACAGCCTGAATTAATGTCGGCATCTCGGGTCTCACTAGTGACCCGCAATTCTCGATTGCCATTGACGAATCCAGTAAATATCTTTTCTATAAAGCGCAACAACCAGTGTTGCTGCAATAAAACTGCAGTATATCTTCATCGGGCTCGGTTGCCCAGAATCCATAGTCGCGGACACACACACACACATATATATATATATATATTTGGCTAAACCAACTTACACTTAGACTAGTTGTTTAAGCTGGATAAATTTCACCCCAATTTATTTGGTTTGCTCTACTTACTTGAATGATCTTCCAATAACTGGACAGGTTGCTTACGCTAATTGTGGTTATTTTTCGTTAACTTTATTGCGTTTGTAGCATTTTGTGTAACTTCTGGATATTTTGTACTTGTCGCTAACCAACGCACTTCATATGCTAATATAGCGGAGAATTATATCGGTATATCCGTAGGTATCAACATATATATTTTATTTGATAATGTTATCTCAAATGATTGGCTGTTGTTTGAGGTCCCCGGTGTGGCTGCGCTTGACGTGCATGTTGACAAGGTGCCTACCTATCTATTACCCACTACCTCGTCCATACTGGTTCCTGGAGACAGTTGGTCGTTGCTTGTAGGGACGGGGTGCAACGTCGTTATGGCCATGTTTGACTCAAAGAGCGGTTCCATACACTCAGTTTGGAGTGGACTGCTGTCCAGCCATCGCCTTGTGTGCGCTTGATTCCCCAAATACAGTGTGCTTGTGTTTGCCTGTGAAGGAGTGTGGGCCGGCTCCGTTGATGAAACGTGGTTCCCATCCGCATGCCTCCCGGTCTTATTCCTTCGGGTTTGCACTGGATATGGGGTGTGTGGATGGAGCTGTGGGTGGTGCAGCGCAAGCCATCCATGGTCCCTCTGTAGGCGCAGGCGTCCTGTGGCTTGCCACAGTGACAGGCAAATCCGAAACCGGATGCCGCCATCCATGTATTGCCACATCTAACCTACCTTTGTTGGGCTTACCTAACTCGGTTGTATTTCGCGGTTATTTCAAGTGTTTCCCACTACACTGTTGTACTCATCATGATCTATGATACCCTTGCTACCTTCTCAAGTAGTACGGTGACATACCGAGGCGACGAGCTACGGTATCTTTCTCTTATTATTATTATTCGGCCGCGATTCACATCACTATGTAAGCTCCTTGGTATTGCTCACCAGACTATGCTACCTACATTCTGCTTGTTGAAATCGATTTGTAGATTACATGACGGCAGCTCGACCAGCTGCCCTGTGCTAACTAGCACTACGCTTAGTGAGCCGATGCATCACCAGATAAAGCTTAAGTCCATCCGTGAGCTTATTCGTATTTTACGTGCGCATGGAGTTTCAGAGCGAACTGTGTCGTTGATACGGATCAATGCTAGGTTGGCAAATTAGTGAATATGTTTCCAGTTCGGTAGATACGTTTGAATCCAAAGGTTACCGGCGCATGACCGCATACAGTACGCATAAAGTGTAAAGTTTGACATCTGGAGCACAATGCTCAACGATTGCCCCTCGTGTGACCACGTTGGACTATGCATCTGAAGAGAAATTACGCGGGAAAATCCGTGGCTATTGAACAATCTCGGTAAATAAGCGACTAGCGAGTATCATGATGTCGACAGTTCATATTCCGCTCCATAGGTTAGTGATGAGAGTGAACATAGCTTTATCTCCCCTTGTTCATCAGCCATACTGAATTTATCGGGGCTTATGAAAACGCAAGTACAAAGCGGATTGAAGACGGAAGCGCAGAGACGCTTGCCAGTTGAATTGGACATGGCCAATCTTCTGGGTAGGCCAAGCAAAAGGTAATGACAACGGTAATGGTACGTCAGTGTCTTAGTATATTACATCGAAAATGAATCGGCGCATAGCGATAATCGTTTTAGGAGCACCAAATGGCTGTACCCGAGACGTACGATGCAGATCCTTACCAAAACTCTTATGGCCACAGCAGAGTACACAGCAGTATGTACAAACGGTTGAGTACTTGGATGAGAGCCATGCTAAGTCATGGAGATTTCAAAACAGTGCGAACACTGTTTAGAAAGTCGCATGTTTGGCAGTGAGCAGCAGGACTTAGTTGATGTAGAATGGCGGTAGTTGTCGCCCCAACGAGGCCGTAAGCGGCGAGTATGTGGTATTGACACCTGTCAATGCTTAAGGTTGCGCAACAATCGTACCTAGGGCAACAGTTGACCGGACCGGTAGGCGACACGGAGAGACTAAAGTGAACATCCTATCGTATTTGCGCGCTGTAAGATCTCTCACATCACCTACGCAAACTAGACTGTGCATATAAGAGGCAACACCTAAGTACACACTAGTTTACTGTACCACTTGTTTATTAATCATTCTACCTGGTAACCATACTGATGGCAATTGCGACACTATTCCTATATAGGTTTCGTTCAAATATAGATGCCCAAGATTTAAGGCTGTCACGTCTAAATGTTATGGAAAACACCAACAGTTCGTATAGGGTAGTTATTCTCATGCCTGTGCAATTGGCTGTTATCCTGATCTCCAAACGATAGCCAGACAGGTTGTTAGTACTATTGTGCATGAGGTCTAGATTATCTCTATCCAATTTGTGGCAGTTTATACCTAAGTCTGGACAAACGTATATGCATATGTTGTATTCGAACTGCCATTGGACACAGATGACGCCAATCCATGTACAAATGTATACCGAATGGATTCGACGAGGATACTCACCACCTTTGCTACGGCCAACTTAATGTAGGGTAGCGGCAAGGGAGCAAATGGAAAATAACTACTAGGACAAGAAGGTGAGTTTATGACAAACTAATGTTGTTACTAATGTTGATTCTGTAGGTGCAGACGTCCTGTGGCTGGCCACAGTGACAGGCAAATCCGAAACCGGATCCCGCCAAACATATATATATATATATATATATATATATATATATATATATATATATATATATATATATATATATGCTGGCCTGCAAATTATGTAGCGCAGCCAACTTCCACCATGGCTCAATTGCTTAAGCTACTGGCTAGCTGGCATCAGCTCCTAGCGGTCATGAGTTCGATCCCCAGTAGAGGACCGAAGGAATGCGCAGCACTGATGAGCCCCAATAGAGCGAAACGCGTCAGGTGCTTCTCCGGACTAGGCTGTGCTATGTGGCTTGTTAGCTACTGGGACTAATACCTCAAAGTAACAACTAAAATTCTGCCACTCACAAGTAATGTAAAACAGGTAATAGAGTTGGTTAGATGAACCGAAAATAACGGAGCTGGTGTTTATCCTAACGTACCAGAAGTGATTTGCAACGATTTGTAGCTGGAGCATACAATTCATATTCAAGATTCAGTTTCCACCGGCACGGTGACAAAATTCAGTAACAAAGCAGTTTTTATAAACGAAGTAAGAACATCGCAGTGTCGGTTCAGTAATTCAATGTAGCCAAGCGAATTGCCGTAGAAATCGCATCAAGAAATGGCCTCCGAGTATTCAGCTGCATACGATGAGGTGACCGTGAGAGTAGTTCACGAGGTAACCGATTTAGTGAGATTGTCAAACGGCCATGGTCGCGCGTGTATGCACCAACTTCCACAGTTTCAGTTGTCAACGACGTTTCAAGCGATTAACGAAAGTGATGACAGTCCCATTGCGAATACCGTAGTTCTCGTGCAAGCGTCCATTCGGATCGTCTAGTATACATGTGATGGAAGGCATTGCGAATGGTGGTTTAAGCGAATGAGGGCTGACCACAGCAAGTGATTTAGACCGCCAAACACTTTTCCAACTTATAAATCTAGGAGAGTGGAATAGTAAACTTGTTTTGACATCACTAAGAATGTGATCGGAAATCTGAACGTCCGTGTATTGCGCAGTGATGTCCTTGTATGATTGAGGCTCGGAGGGGGACATGCAGATAATCTGTTCCAGGAACTCTGAAATCGTGTTCTGAACAGCACGGCGCAAATCCAAAACGCAAGCAGAAATTGGAACTACACAAGGAAGTTCCACACCATCACCTCGAAGCAAGGTCAATTTCATTGCCTGAAAGAAACAAGAATTCACATGATGCAAGAAAAATAACTCAATATGCATGCGACAATAAATTGCGGGAATATTGTGAGGCATCGGAAAAGAGTGGGAAGAAGAGTGCGAAAGTAGTTGGCAGCAGTTTGGTGGAAGAACAGAACTATCCTGGCACAAACTATGTTAGCATTAGAATGTATGGTTGTAGTCCATATATTGTAGTGAATGAAGAGGACGAATCCGAGAAAATACTGAGCGTAAAGCGGCCGTGATACATCATGGGTGGAGTTTGCAGGTTGCACATTTCTAATCAACTCATTTGATCATCTATGGTGCATGCACTAAAGCTGACCTGTCAAGCTGATTCTAGTAATTAAAAAGGCGGGAGGAAATGACCTTGTCCACACAAATAGATGGCCAGCCATCCCATCAAGACGCGCTATCTGGTCACCCGAGGAGGCAAAAAGAAAATAAACAAGGAAATGGTGAAATATCCACGCAAGCTGTTAAATATATTCAAATATCATCAATACCGCCAGTCCCTACCTATAATTCTTTACTTTCTAATAAAATCGTACTTTCAGTCAGCGCGAGTGACCAAGAGATTGCCGCTGAGTGACCATTTTTGTGCCCCTGGCCGCTTCAAGAAGACAAATTTGGGATGAAATTCGATTGCTCAGAAATAGTTCGATGTAGCCTTAAGGTAAAAAAACTTAGTAACTGCTTTCCGTGGAGTACACACGGTTTGTAGCCAGAAAAGATGTATTCATGACATACGTTAAGGCTGCACTGGAAAAATTTTTAGTGACCATAATTTATCCCAAAGGCGCCCAAATGGGACCGCAAAGTTCACAAAAAAAGTCAATCAACGTGCTCCAAGGCTCACCACAGCGCACAACTTTCAGTTTCTCGTGGTATACGGGGAATCACAGAGAAACGAGAAAGTTGATCAAAACAGTATAGGGTGTTTTATTAATCTGGTCTGGAGCTAGGAGCGGATGCACTCAGGTGTTGACGTATACCTGCACGCTGAATTGCTAACCGTCCAATGGAGCAAACTGCTTTGCCGAGGGGTGAGATGGTACACAGAGACGCAACATGTGTGCCTACGATCGCAGGGCACACTGAGCCGTTCGGCCGTAAGAGGAGAACGTTAGCAACACCACAGCCGCAATCGACCTGTCATGCGTAGATCGCAGGGTAAGACCAAGGGAACGCACGCCGTTCGGCTGTGAGAACTGGACGTGAACCAGCCACCACAGCCGAACGGAACGTGTCATGCTTCGCTCGATTCGTAGTCGGCCTTCACTCAGGTGAAAAAGCCAGCAAAAGGGTTCCCTGTGAAGTGGTTATTGGGTCGCTGTGATGGCAACTGTGAAAGCAGCGTGTGCGCATGTGATGACCGGGCAATGGGCGCCGAACTGCTATCACACTGGTGGCGCTATAAGACTGCACGCCAATTTAAGCATGAATGCAACTATGGCCCTCACAAGCAGATAATTGCTAGTTGTACAAATTGGTCGGGCCTTCGATGGTGTTAAGCGTGTAAAATTGAGAATATACATTTATTCATTTATTTACTTATATTTACATGAAATGTGTGAAGTGTCTGTAAATATCAACGAATTAGATGTTTGCAACATCAGACAAAGCGGACGGCCTCGCACCGTCACGGATGAAGTATCAGCTTGCACGGTTGCGCAAGAGGTATGCAGTAACAGCCATCTCAGCAACTCGCACAACATTGCGAAACCATACCATACGCTGTGCATCGGATATTGAAGGAAAAGAATTCTGGCAGTACAGTGTACTGCAGGTGCAAGCGTTGAACGCATGCCGTTCACAGAAGCGTCTGGAATTCGCCCGCTTGTTTTTAAACTGCCTGGAAGTCCATTCCATTTTGATCACCGATGAGGCGGCGTTTCCTCTGCATGGCGAAGATACGCAACATGTTTAGGCAACAAACAAACCACAGCAATGTAGCGCTTCAGTAACATAGAACGAAGTTCATGGCCTGGGTTAGGTTGCCTGGCCAAAAAAGCATTGGGCCCTTTTTCTTTTCCAGGAGTGCGTCCGGTAGGTTGTTGTTTAACAGTACCAATGTCTGACATTTCTTAGCATCCTCGCCAAGACCATCTGGGGAATGCTGCTCTGTAGCCAAAACGACGGAGGACACTTCGAACATCTAACTCCTTGATTTTTACAGACCTTTCACAACTTTCATGTAAATATAAGTAAATAAATGAATAAATATATATTCTCAATTGTACACACTAAACACCATCGAAGACCTGATCAATTTGTACAACTAGCAATTGTCTGCTTGTGAGTGCAATAGTTGCATTCATGATTAAATTGGCGTGCTGTCTTATAGCGCCACCAGTGTGACAGCAATTCGGCGCCCATTGACCGATCATCACATACGCACACGCTGCTTTCTCAGTTGCCATCACAGCGACCCAATAACCACTTCACAGGGAACCCTTTTGCTGGCTTTTTCACCTGAGTGAAGGCCGACTACGAATCGAGCGAAGCATGACACGTTCCGTGCGGCTGTGGTGGCTGGCTCACGTCCAGTTCTCACAGCCGAACGGCGTGCGTTCCCTTGGTCTTGCTCTGCGATCTACGGATGATATGTCGATTGCGGCTGTGGTGTTTGCTAACGTTTAGTTCTCACAGTCGAACGGCGTGCGTTCCCTTGGTCTTACCATGCGGTCGACGCATCCATTATGGCTGTGGTGTCTGGCTAACGTTCAGTTCTCACAGCCGAACGGCGTGCGTTCCCTTGGTCTTACCCTGCGATCTACGCATGACAGGTCGATTGCGGCTGTGGTGTTGCTAACGTTCTCCTCTTACGGCCGAACGGCTCAGTGTGCCCTGCGATCGTAGGCACACATGTTGCGTCTCTGTGTACCATCTCACCCCTGCCGGCAAAGCAATTTGCGCCAATGGACAGTTAGCAATTCAGCGTACCGGTATACGTCAGCACCTGAGTGCAGCCGCTCGTAGCTCCAGACCAGATTAATAAAACACGCTGTACAGGATAAAGTATGAAGCGTGAGTTGGAGGAATCGCTGTAAAAAGTCAGCTGACAGGTACCGTCACTGTTCACTACCCAGTAACTTTATGCAACCACAAGTAGTAAAGTTCGAGAAGTCTTTCGATGTCCTCGGTAAACGCCAGTTATGTCTATTTTTCGTATAGAAACACTGATCACATCGTGGTGCTACACCATCTACAAGAGACAAGTGGACTAGCCCTCCAAGTTTCCGCTGATAATCAATGTCTTTAAAAATGACGCGCACATAATTACGTTTTCAGCGACTTGATCAGTAGAAATAATGCGGCTGCCCGGACACGTGAACCGATCGACCATTTTGGATAACTGTTAGGCGATAGTGGAGAAACATGGCGTGTCGGTTTATCACCGAGGTATTATAATGAACTTTGAAGATGTGTGTAGCGGTGTGGAATCGTGTGACCTACTCGGAGGTGTTTGTGCATGTGGATCCGATCGTAAGAGAAACTACAAGGATTTCAACGGGTTGCTCTGTAGAACTTTCATCTAAGTCCAGACGGACGTGGCAGGCTAATTCATATCCTTTTTGGTTATAAAAGTGGAGAAATAGAGCAGCTTGTTCAGCCCTACTAGTTATGGAGAAGGCAATGGAGGCAACACATCTGTACACCCGTACCTCGTACTCATATTTCGACACCATAGAATCCCCAGCGGCTGTATGAGACTAGGAGGATACCATGGTGTCAAAACTCAGCCAGTAGCTGGGATCTCCACTCTAAGAGCAAATGTCAAGTGACTGAACCATCACACTACATATGTCTCAGGAGTTTCTGCCCCGAGCACTCGCAATACAGGGAGTTAAGGAGAGGCCAAGCACATAGCTTAAAAGGTAGGTGGTGATGCTGCTACTCGATTACGAGAATCAAATGTGCCTTGTAAAAGGAACTGGATCGCTACCAATGATACCTCCAGGGTTGTTTATGGCCTGGAGCATGACGCGGCGCAAAACTATGAACGATGCATTCAATGAAATGAACAGCCTTGAAGCTCTAGCAAATTAGGTGTATCGGGACGCCTGAGAACATCACTTCATCAGCCGAATTAGGCTGAAGCCAATGAGGAGAAAGGTGACTAATGAATAGTCAGCATTTATCAGAAAAAGGCTCTAACGAAGCAGAGTAAGTACATTCGCATTAAAAACGCGAGGACAGTTAAATAATAAAAAACATGTCCTTTCGAACGCAACGCTGCAAGAAACAAGTCAACTTAAGAATGTGCACTTTCTACCTACAAAGAGCAAATATTCAGCTGAGATGGTTGCCGTCATAACCATTAGGCATCAAGATGTAAAGAGGCTTCCAACGAGCCAAGTGTGGCTCATGATCGTGAAATAATGCGTCATGGCTGTCTCTATCGCGCTGACGCATCAGTTTTCGGGATCAGCGGTATGTATCACTTAGAAGAGTATGCGGTGAAATATCCTCTCTCCCTCTTTTATTGTACAATTTGGGTCCACAACGTTTCCTTGTCATTCGCAGATTCTGATTAAGCACGCGTCTAACAATCTGCCTAATGATTGTATGCCGTACAAACAGGGATATTTCTCTCGATTCCATCAGATTCACTGGCATCTTGGATGTCCAGCAACTGATGAGATTGCGACTGATGGATCTGCAAGCAGAAGCTACCGCATCGTGCATGACAGCCGAGATACCGTTCTACTGGGCTAAATGCCTTGTGGTATGTAAGGCACTTTGGCAAGCGTGCGTGACAGAAAGCTGAGGTAGCATCCCAGTTGCCAAACGACGGAAATGTTTGAGATGCTTTCTAGAAATCATCAGCGGCAGTCAAAAGTGTAGCTATGCTACCTGGAAGTTACGGCGATGTGATCTATGAGAGTGAATCGATGATCACTCGCCTGAGACAAAGTGGCACATCGGCGCCCACTGCATCTGAGAGCAGTGTCGCTAAGACATAGTTGATGGTCGGTGAACAGTTT